TGTGTGTGTGTGTGTGTATAGATAGTCTTGGTAGTTCTAGTGTGTAACCAGCTTTGAGAACCACTGTCCTATAAAAATTGTAAAAGAACACAGATAACCCAAATGATGCTATATTCTGTCACCTTTTTATGCTATATCATTAAGACGTATTTTAAAAACTGCATGCCATAAGTATGGAATTATTTTGAGTGATACACTTCCCTTGCCTGCCAATTGCTTGCCTTTGGGGTCAGTTTTCTTATAAAAATGAACATCTTCCTTTTTTAACAGAATCTTCTGTAACATCTAAACTACAAGATTCTCTGAAAATTCCAATTCTTCTTTACTAGTGTTGGTCATATTTATACCTTTTTCACTTTTCACACCTTCCCACATCCATTCAAACACTCTGTATGGCTCTAAAATAAGTCTTAAATGTGTCCACACCTTTATCTCATCCAAAACCCACACAGCAACCAAAGAAATGTTACACACACACACAAACACACACATATCTGATCCTGGCATTGCTCGACATAGATCCTTAGAGTAACTCCCCACTGATCTTGGACTCTCTGACCTGCAAAATCCGCCCCCTGCCTACCTCCCAGCCTCATCTTAAACCACTTGTTACACTATCATATGGTGGTTTATTTTCATGCCTCTCTTCCTTACAGTTAACATGTTTGCCAAGCCCATGAAATCCCCAACTCCATCAAACCCACATATTTATTTGCTAATTCCTATTGTAGGAGGCCTTTGCTGCTTCCACAGAATGATGAGAATCCATGTTATACTTGCTCATGACCAATTGTTTAAAGGCCCCTGATTAATTTTATATAAGGGCTGGAAACATGTTCTTCATTATTGTGTTTCAGAGCCTAGAACAGTTCCTATCATAGATCGTGTATGTGTTCAGTAATATCATCATAAAAATTTTCTGAATGAACACATGAAACAATGAGTAGCATGAGATTCTGAAATTAGAAAGCCAGATAGGAGACAAACTGAAATGGTCATAAACAGCTGCTTGTAACTTAAGGATATGTGACCCAAGTCAACATCTCTCCCTCCTTTACCATATGTGTTTGTGTCTCTGCAGGTTGTGATTTGATCCCAGTACAATATCTTCGATGGGGTGACCCTGAACCCATTGCAGCTGTGGTGTTTGCCTGCCTTGGCCTCCTGGCCACTCTGTTTGTTACTGCAGTCTTCATCATTTACCGGGATACACCAGTAGTCAAGTCCTCAAGCAGGGAACTCTGCTACATTATCCTCGCTGGCATCTGCCTAGGCTACTTATGTACCTTCTGCCTCATTGCAAAGCCCAAACAGATTTACTGCTACCTTCAGCGAATTGGCATTGGTCTCTCCCCAGCCATGAGCTACTCAGCCCTTGTAACAAAGACCAACCGTATTGCAAGGATCCTGGCTGGCAGCAAGAAGAAGATCTGTACCAAAAAGCCTAGATTCATGAGTGCCTGTGCCCAGCTAGTGATTGCTTTCATTCTCATATGCATCCAGTTGGGCATCATCATTGCCCTCTTTATAATGGAGCCTCCTGATATAATGCATGACTATCCAAGCATTCGGGAAGTCTACCTGATCTGTAACACCACCAACCTCGGAGTTGTCACTCCACTTGGATACAATGGATTGTTGATTTTGAGCTGCACCTTCTATGCATTCAAGACCAGAAATGTTCCAGCTAACTTCAACGAGGCCAAGTATATCGCTTTCACAATGTACACAACCTGCATTATATGGCTGGCTTTTGTGCCAATCTACTTTGGCAGCAACTACAAAATCATCACCATGTGTTTCTCGGTTAGCCTCAGTGCCACAGTGGCTTTAGGCTGCATGTTTGTGCCGAAGGTATACATCATCCTGGCCAAACCAGAAAGAAATGTGCGCAGCGCCTTCACCACATCCACCGTGGTGCGCATGCATGTAGGGGATGGCAAGTCATCCTCCGCAGCCAGCAGATCCAGCAGCCTAGTCAACCTGTGGAAGAGAAGGGGATCCTCTGGGGAAACCTTAAGGTAAAAGTAGTGGGGGCTTAGAGGGGTGCTGGCCCCTATAGCTGATGCAGAGGCGTGTGTTTCTTGGGTCTTTTAAATGGGAGAAATCTGAGTAAATAAAACCATGGGAGGCAGTGTCCTTTAGGGAATGGACCTTCTCATCGAATGGTATTTATAGGGTTAAGGGAATGTGGGCCCAATTACTTAGGGCAAGTCTAGAAACATGGAAGTTAAAATCTCTAATAAAGCAGAGTCACAGCATATGGGGAGTGAGGCTGAGAGGTAGACAGAGTAGAGTTAGGTCACAAAGCCAAGGCAAGGACCCTCAAGTCCTGAGGGGACAGGGTTACACTGTGAGGTAAATTCTAGTTCACCAGAACAGGTTTAAAAAATATATTACTAACAAAGATTCTACTGAGAGCAGAATGCCAAGAACGCTACACACCAGACTGCACTTGCCTAAACCTTATTCAAGCCAGGAGAGTGCTTAAATGCCCATCTCACTGAGGCACAAGAATGTAGGATTTATATTTTAGCTCTTAATGGGCAAGATGGAATCTTTGGGAGATGTCTAAGCAGCAGAAAAGGACAAAACAACAAACTGACTTTGCATATAATTGTCCTAAATAACCAGTCAGTTTCCCAGTTCTCTGTTGCCTATAGTCTCATGCCACCCTAAGTTCAATTGTCACAGGTAGCAGTTATGCGATCATTTCAATCTGAAAAGAATCTAGATCCAAAAGCCAGTGATTTCCTCCCAGGTAAGGAACTGCTTTACATGATAAATGATCCCAAAGCACTTCAGAAGACAAGATGATATCAGTGGCTCGGGAAGAAATGTTGAAGCACCAAAAAGGCTACCTGGATTGATGATAATTGGGACTAAGGATCGCCTTTATTTAAGAAGTACACATCAAAAGGGCTGATCAAGACATCAGCACTGCTAACTCTACTGAAATTTAACAGTATTTTTTACAGCTAGATAAATAACTGGAAGATAGGTATCTTTCAAATGGAAGCTGCATATCTAAATAACATTGCTTGAACTATTCTCCTATACCATCACTTAGCCTGCATGAAAGTCCTACTTTTCTGTCAGCGTTAAATCTTCAAAGCATGACTTAGTATGATGGTGAAGATACTGTGTCTGCCGAGGTTTGAAAATAACTCAGAGGATAGTTGAATTTTACCCACAAGGTCCAATTCGTTTACATTATTAACTTGTACTCTTACCTCTTTCAATTCTTTTCCACTTCCTTTACACTTCTCATCTCTTTTTACATACATCGTATAAGACATTCAATTAAACTGTAATTCCTGTCTTCTTCAATAAATCCTGGCAATGGCACGGTCTGTACACAGCAGGCCTTTCATATATCTAACCTGCTGGTCTATTTTCCATCTGCCTTCGTAACTCCTCTATGAAACATTCTTTTTCTGAAATTTCTGCAATATCAGCCTTTCCTTTTGGCTAAGAAAATTTATTTTTCAGACTTTTGTTTTATCAGCTTTTCTTCAAGTCCTATCTGTAAACAAAATCTCCCAGGAAAGCCCAGTATATAAAACAAGCACGTTGAGGGAGGGAGGGAGGGAATTTTGAGTCTATGTCTAAGCACCTAAAAACTCACTAAAGAAAGCTCCTTAGGGAGCATGGAGTGGTGGCAGAGAGCATGGGCTGCGGAGCCGGATTGTTTCTGTTTGAACAACAGCACTGCTGCTTCATCTCTCTGCACCTTATTTCTACCATCTGACAAACTGGATTGTAAAAAGTGAAGGGGATGATACGTGTAAAGGCTGGCACATAGTAGGCACTTTTCTAAAAATAGCACAGTACAAATGCTAGAGAACACTGGGATTAAATACTGGCAGCATCACTTACCAGCTGTGGAACCTTAAGCAAATTAATGTAACCTCTCTATGCCTTGTTCCTCTAAAAAATGGAGATGATGGAATGCGTAGTTCAGAGACTGTGAGAACTGAATGAGTTAACATGTGTGTAGTGTCTGCCGCATAGTAACCACTTCTTAACTATCTGCTATTTTGACTAACCAAGTTAACCACTGTCAGTCTTCTTTTACTCCTGAAAGTTACTGTATCAGATACACAATCTGGATGATCTTAATAACAAAGAGAGCATTATAAATGACAGAAGAAATCTATGGAGATATTGATTATACAGTCTGGGTTTTCCAGGGCATCTCCATCTTTATGTTGTCCAGCTCCTTGCTGTTCTGTATAGTACATCCTTTGTTCCACTTTAAGCAGAGCAAGCTCCTTAGGGGTGGAGCCCTGCTAATCACAGTGTCTCCAATACCTACCTGTAACCTGAAGGGTGCTTGGCACATAGAAGATGCTTAATAATGATTTCTGGTATGTTTGTTGAATGAATTTGGGAAGGTAGCTATGTGGTAGGTATTTTTTTTTTTGCTTGTCTTCAAATGTGCACACTCTTGCTCCCCAGTTATCCTATTAACTTTTATAAGACTGAGACAACAGTGCCCTATATTACAGATATCTCTCTCATTCATGTGGTCATCAGGTTCTACTCTAGACTTGGATCACTGATCTTGTGCTTTGCCATAGTTATACTATTTCCCTAGTAACGTTCAATTAATATTTTCAACTATTTCATTCCTAATTTAATAAACAAAGGGGCAAACAAAAGCAACGCATTTTACTGACAGTGCCAATCAATAGAAAACAGAATTCTAAAGATTTTTGTTGCAATGCTTTAACTTGTTTTTCCTACAGGGCTATGTGGTGTTTTTTTGTTTGTTTTGGTTTTGGTTTTGGTTTTTTTTTTTTTGCTCGATTTTGCAATCTGTGCATGTGGATGTTAGAATCCCAAAGAGGGTAAGGATAGAACTTTGGCAAGTGTTTGGTCTTCTTCCTGCAATCTTGGCAATTCTTGATCTGTCTATGTGATTATAGCTGAGACAGGCTACAGTCTGATTATATAGAGACTTCTTTTTTTGCCGTCAATCAAAATATTCAAGCTAGGACCTGCTTTTGATATGGAGAAGAAAAGGTGGCAAGTCAAGCTATAATTCTCTTGTATCACATGCATCTGATACTGGCTCTTTTTTTTTCTAAGTCACAGTCCTTAGAAAGAAACACAAACTACAATTCCGTTCCTCTAGAGCTTCCATGAGTTCCAAAACTAAATATTTATTCTCTGTCATACAAAATCAAGATGGTTCGCATATTTATTACATTGGAGCATATAGTGACTTATGTAGGGATTCATCTCTCATTTGATAATTAGTTGTATAAAGTCACTGTATATCACATTGTCTGCCACACTACAGCTTAAATAATGGGAAATAAATAAATTCAGATTTTTTAATATTTTTACATTTTATTCTGAATCACTTCCACAAGTTGTGCTTCTCAGACTTGAAAATCTTAATACACCATTGAGCTCACCTCTTGGGATGTCAGGTGGGCTTAAATAGGTAAATTAAGTCTCTGGATGTAGGTATTTGGGGAGAAGCATCCACCCTGCTGGGCCCAGCTCTGTTCTGCTGTCCCCCACCTGGTGTGTGAAGAAATAGGCTACTATAATCTCAGACTGGGTATGCCCTCTGTTTCTGGGTAGGGTCTATGTGTGTCCCTTCCACATGGAATGGCAGATGGCAAGCGCTCTCCATCTTAAAGAGGATACTGTGTACCTCAAAAAAAAAACATAACAATATCTAAGGTTATAGTAACTATGTCTCCCAAAGTTAGTACAGGCTCCTGGAATGGTGTCTGTACAGAGATGGAAAATGCAAAGGCAGCATACTAGTTGACAGTTCCTGCTTTGAAACCACACGTGGGTTTCAATTCAGCTATGAATTTGAATAAGGCACTTTAGTCTGTTTTCTCAACTATAAAATGGTAGATAATAATTCCTATTCTGAGTAGTCAATAAGGTAATATGCATTAAGTATTTAGTACCAGCACATAGAAAGTATTCAGTAAATGCCACCTAACCTTTTAGAATTGTGTCTGCAAGTAACAGAAAGCCTATTTTCAAACACTTATACTCTTTGGGGTTCATTTTCCTTATGTTAAACAAAATTTTGGAGGGAGATTGCTTCAGGTGTTAGTTCAGTGATGCAAAGGCAAACATTCCTGCCATTCTCTAGGCCTTTCACTAATGGTTACAATACAATTGTCATGGCTCCACACATTACATCCTTTCATTAGGGAAAACAAAAGTTTTTTCCAAGTCCCATAAGAATTGCCCTTTTGTCTCACTGAGCCAAAACTGTCTAATACAAGAGAATGTAGGCAAGTGACATTTAGCCTCTTCCGCCTCTATCATGGAAACGGAAAGAGAAAAGGGCGCCTCAAGTGTTTGTTAGATAATCCAGTGCATAGTGCCTAAAATATTAGTACCTAGTAGTAGTCATGGTGGTAATGGTCATAGAAGGAGGAGGAACTGAACAGAGAAGAGGGCAAAGAAGAGGAAGGAAGGAAGATGACATGAAGCACAAAGTAAGAGACTGGCAAAAAGGTTCAAAACAGAGTAGTTCCCCAAAATGGTTCATTTATTACCCACCTGTTATGTTCTGCCACCTTACAGAACTTTACTTTTCATATGTATTACTAGTCTAACATTTCTAATTGTCACAAAATACTGCAAGTTGAAGCAACAATCCTCCCATTCTTTATATGAGGAATTTGAGGTCCTACACAGTGAGAAGACTTGCCTATTATCTCATGACTACTGAGTAATGGAGCAGTTTTTAAACTAAGATTTTAGCTGATAATCACTAGAGCTGAGCACATATGGACTGCCTCCTTTGGAAAATTAGTATATGCATTGAAAAACAGCTCCATGAAAAGAAATTATTTGGTCAGAAATGTAAAAAAAATACTCTGTTCTCTTATTGGAGATAAACACCGAGAAGTCTTGCACTGTAGAAAACTATCATCCATTTGTTAACTCTAATCATTTTGCAGACTTATACACAAGACCATTTTTTTCCCCAAGTAACCCCCTTAACATTCTGAAGAACTAATGCTCCAAAAAA